CTCCATCTTCCTTGACTATTTACTTGTTCTTCTTCTATTTCAACTTCAATAAATATTGGATAATGATCACTGCCTATTGTACTATTTTTATATATTTTCCAATTACAACTATCTGCCATACCTTGAGACACCAGAGTAAGGTCAATAGCCGACTCCTTACCACTAATCATATCCAACCGAGTTCCTTCCCCATTATTTAACACCACCAATTCTTTTTCCTCAATAATTCCTTCTAAAATCCCCCATGATAATCATCTTTCTCACCCATAACGTGCTGTGTGCATTAAAGTCCCCACACCATATTAATTTCTCTTCCCTATGCCTAAATATATTTTCTATTTTTAATTTATCTATTTTCTTATAAGGTTATAATTTATAATTTTTATACTTCCATGTTTTGTCCACACTTTAACCCCATTAATCTCTAATTCCGTATCTAATTGTATCTTCACAATTTTTATCTTTTCTTTTATAAATATAGTACATCCTCCTCCATTTCCGTTTCTTCAATCTCTTCATATAATTGAATACGCACTAATACTGTAATGTTTGTTTTAACCAAGTTTCTTGAATACATATTACTGTCATGTTTCGTGTTTTCTGTTTTGTTTATTTGAGTTTCTGTGTCCTGAGTCTCCTCGTTGTCCTGTCTTCCCCTTGATTGTTCCCAGGTGTGTCTTGTCCCCCTGATTACCCTCAGTGTATTTAGTCCCTCCTGTGTCCTTTGTTCCTCGTCGGGTCCTTGTCGTTGTTTGTTGTCGCTCTGTGTTGCCGTCATTTCTCTATCCGCCTGTTAGACCAGTTGCTACTGGTGTTGAGCCCTGGCTTCTGCTCAGCTGTGCTGCCTGGCCGCCGACTACGTTGACTGTGTTTTCTGGACTGTTTTTTTCATTAAATCTTCATTTCTCACTTTACCTGGGCCTCCAGCGTCTGCCTCACCACCTCATCACTACATGACAATTACATCTGGTTTCTCATTTAATCTGATAACAAAACCTTTAAACTCTTGACCATTAGCAATTAGACTTCTAGCATTCCATAGTAATATTAAAATTATAAGACTATTTGACTTGCCTCACTTTCACCTGACCCCTCTCCTTGTCTAAGCTCATCTTGAATTCTTTCCCATGATAAGTCTTGCTGCTGCTTTCACTATGATTTTTATTTTTTCAGTTTTAGTCCTCGCTTGTTCTGAACAATTTATAATATAAGCCAAGAACGTGATCAGTTTTTCTAGTGTGACAGTATTTTGATCTTTATCTACCAAATTCTTCTTTTCTACTTTTGCTCTCTGACTTATCCCTGCACTTTTCATCTCCTTTACTGCTCACGCAGACGACATTCTCTTCTCTGTTTTCAGTTTTTGAAAATCTGCTGCCTCTTTCCTCACCATACATCCTGCATATGCTGCAGTATGATCTCCTCCACAGTTGCAACATTTTATAGGATTCTCTCCACACTCCCATAAGAATGTTCTCCTCCACACCTACCACATCTTTGCTTTCCATTACATACGTTTGCTGTATGTCCGTATCTCTGACACTTGTAGCATCTAATAGGTGGAGGAATATAATTTCTTACACTGAAACTAAAGTATCCAATCATTATTTTATCTGGTTTATCTTTAACCTCTAATAGCACAGAAGTGCTATCCACTCTCTCCCCATTTCTAAAGGCCTGTAGTCGTTTGATACCTAAAACCTCCCCTCCTTTTATTACTTTCTTTAACTCGTCCAAGTTTTCTCCTATAGGAATTTCTGATATCACCCTTTTATTCCTCTTTCCTCTCCCATTATTTTCCTCTCCATTACTTCTCTTTTACAAATCGATTGTATTTTTATTACTTTATCTTTTGTTCAGCATTCCTACAAATAATCAACAGGCTTCCATCTCTTAAAACCTTAGCTAATTCCACATCCCCAATTACTTTCTTTAAACCATTAGATAGCGTGATTGGACTCACTCCAATCAAGTCCTTTCCAGTTCTGAACTTCAAAATTACTTTAAATTCCTCCATCATTATTTTCTTTCGTGTCTCAACGTTTTCCTCCTCGTCTTCAAAGATCTTTTGCCTGTGTTTATCCCTTTTTTACCCTTATCCTTCCTCCTCCCCCTTTCTTATTTTCTACCACAGACCAACTTGTTTCCATACCATCATCATCTGAATATCCTCTACTACTACTAGCCATCTCAGTCCACTCACAGTCCAGATTATGCCACAAAACCGCTCCTCCACTTTCAGCTTCCCGTGACCAAACCACGCTCCGTCAGAGTTGCTGTATGCAGGTGCTCTCACAGGTCACCTGGGTTGTAGTTTTTTCTTTCAGAGCAACAAAACCAGGAAGTAGAAGCTCTGCAATGAATCAGAGGCAGGTTGAAAAGTTTTCATGAGGATGTTCTGAGGATTTACTTAGTTTTGACCATGAATGTAGTAATTTTGTGAAAAAAAAATTTAGTTCATTTAGTATTTCACAGAAAAAAATTGGAAATGCATACAAACTAAATATTTGTAAACAAAATTTACTAGCTAAATATTTAGCTTCAAAATAAATGAATAGAATGTCCTAAATCTCCTATTTCATTTCCTCCCAGAAAGTCTTTATTTGTGGTCAGAACCAGAAGACGTGTGTGATGACCGACCATTCAACACATTCCTCCAACATCCATCTGTGGTTGGAATCCTGGAAATGAACGTTTTGAAAATACCAGCTGGTGCAGGAGGCACTGTAGTGAAAGCATTGGAATATAAATGTACACCACACTTTTCAGATTTGTATTTAAAATTTTTTTTAATAAATATAATTTCCCCAATACTGATACTAATACAGAAAACACACAACATTATTTACTGGCCTTCTTAAAGAAGCCATAAAGTTGTGTATTTGTTTGTGTAACCGCTAGATGGAGCTGTTTTTGAAATTCTGGCTTTGAAAATAAATGTTTGAAGGAGCAACTCCCTCTAATGTCCACGAGGGGGGCAACAGATTATACGGATTCCAGGATAAATAACCAGAAAACGGACTAAATAAGATCATAATTTAAAATCTGTTTAATAAACATGAATTCTGTCTTCATATAAGTCCCTTTAAGAGTTTATATCTTTATAAAGTTCCTCATATGAAGGGAATTTCCCTCTCTTTGATGGTTTCCTTTTGGGTTTCTTTGCCTGTTGAGTAATTTCTGTTTTAGGTCAGATCCACTGAGGTCATAAAACACCTGGAACTGAGTAATAAAACAACAACAAAGTCTTATTACAGTTTTTGTTCTCAGTCATATTAGCATAAAATTATAAAATCAAGAATGAGAAATTAAAATAGAAAGTATTTGTTTCATGTTTTGCTTTTTTTCTGTATTTTTAAGATTTTATTTGGGAGGAATGTAATGTTTTCAAAAACAAAACTAGCAAAATATTGGAATCAAAGTAAAATTTGTAGAAAAAAATTGTGATTTTAAAAAGGTGGGAAAATTTGCTGCCACAGCTCAAAAGGTTGGATCTAATTTTAGTTGGACTGATAGTTTTAATGAATCTCGTCATGTTTGCAGACTTCCTGTCTTTGCAGATGATTCATTGAGACTAATAAAATACAGTAAACATTTTACACACTGATATTTCCTGTTACTTTCTGACTCCTACATGCATGCAGATGCTTTGACCTGCAAATGAACCACCAGGAAGTGAAGGAAAAACTGAGTCAGGTCTAAAAATGGAGGCAGCTGCATTCAGCTTTACCTGGGTTAAGTGATGGGTTCGTGTTTTTATTTGGTTCTGACGTCGTGTTTGAAGGTCAGTGCAGTGGGTGGGAGGACAGGTTTATGTGAGGATGTGTTGTGGTTTTGAGTGTTTCCATGTCCACAGGAGGAAGAACCGCAGCAGCACCATCATCATCGTCATCATTCTGCACCGTGAGAATATCCCAGAGTTTATCTGCAATAATCCTGCAAGTGGATGAAACGATTAATTGATTCTTGAAATAATCGTCACCTAAACTAGACCAGAAAAAGAAAGAACATAATTAGAGTTGAAATTCAGCTAAAACTTTACAAAATACAAATATACATTTTGCATTTACCCAAATCAAATTCTGTAAAATAAGTAAAAATCACATATTACACTGCAAAACACAAATCATACCAAATCAAATTTTATTTGTATAGCACATTTCAGCAACAAGGCATTTCAAAGTGCTTTATAAACACAAAGTCATGCAACATATAATAGAATACATTGTTACATATTACATTTCAAATAATAATTTAGTTGAGATTTAAAGGAAGTCAGGGTTTCCGCTGTTTTACAGTTTTCTGGAAGTTTGTTCCAAATTTTTGGTGCATAGATGCTGAAAGCTGCTTCTCCTCTCTTGGTTCTGGTTCTGGGGATGCAGAGCAGAACCAGAACCAGAACCTGAGAGTCTGGAAGGTTGATACAACAACAGCAGATCTTTGATGTATTGTGGTGCTAAACCGTTCAGTGATTTATAAACTAACAGTATTTTAAAATCTATTCTTTGAGCTACAGGGAGTCAGTGGAGGGACTTTAAAACTGCTGTTATGTCTCTATCTTCCTGGTTTTAGTGAGAACAGGAGCAGCAGCTTCTGGATCAGTTGCAGCTGTTTGATTGATTTATTGGACAGGCCTGTGAAGACGCTGTTGCAATAATCAATGAAACTAAAGATAAACGCATGAATGAGTTTCTCTAGATCTGACTTAGTCCTCTAATCCTGGAGATGTTCTTCAGGTGATAGAAGGCCGACTTTGTAATCGTCTTTATGTGGCTCGCAAGGTTCAAGTCCGAGTCCATCACTACTCCCAGGTTTTGGGCCTGATTGCTAGTTTTTAGTTGTAATAACTTGTTACGGCCCGGCTCGGAAAGCCGCAACAAAATTAGGAGGACACGGCAACCAGTCAGTGTTAAGCCCATGAGAGGCGTTTATTTTTAAAAGAATGAAGTTGTCTAGGAGACATCAATAGACGGCCCAAGGGGTGATCAGTCCGCGCCCCTTCAGTCTGGTCCCTTCACACCAGGAGGTCCTGGACTCATCCTGGCCTGGATCTCCGGGTCGTCTGCACATGGTGGCTTCTGACAGTCACACACATGAATGGAACGGCGCTCCTTATAAACCATCCAGGTGTCTGATGGAAGCGCCTCCACATTGAGGACCTTAATTGATAGTAAATCACATGACACACACAGGACTGCACAGCAGGGCCGTCACACCCCCGCCCATAAAAAAGCAGGTTCCTACACCACTCACCAGGTTATACTTAGCCAAGTTGTTTAATGTAGAGATTTCCTCCTCAGCTCACTCTCCAGACCAGCAACTGATGCACTCAGAAGCTCTTTAAGGAACATAGAAAGGGAACAGGGAGAAAAAACACAAAAAAACAAACCTGCTACAAAATGGGAGCACGAGAAAATGCATCGGCCATGATATTATCTCTTCCTTTAATATAATGAATATCCAGGTTATAGGACTGCAGAAACAATGACCAGCGAATCAAACTCTGATTTGGGCATTTCAGTGAAGCAAGAAACGTCAGCAGATTATGGTCAGTAAAAACCACAATGTTAGCACCACCACTTAAATAAACATTGAAATGTTTCAGGACTAAATTCAACGTCTCCTTCTCGACCACGGAGTAGTTCAACTGATGCTTATTGAATGTTTTGGAAAAATAACTCACCGGCCTGCCAATACCCAGATCATCAGTCTGTGTAAGGACAGCTCCAGCACCACCTGACTAGCATCCACATAGAGTTGGAACGGATGTTGAAAACGTGGTGCAGCCAATACCGGAGCAGCACAGAGGAGTCTTTTCACCTGTTCAAAAGCCTGTTGACAAAGGGGAGACCACTCAAACTTGTCATCTTTACGCAGCAAATCCGTCAGAGGAACCACCACAGATGAAACGTTTCGACAAAAACATCTGTAATATCCCACCAGCCCAAGAAAACGCATTAGCTCCTTCTTTGTAGCTGGAACAGGAAACTGCTCTACCGCCTGAACCTTTGCTGCAACAGGGCGGACCTCACCTTGGCCAACCACACGGCCTAAATAGGTAACGGTCGCCCTTCCAAACTCACATCTGGCCAGGTTGACCGTTAACCTCGCCCTCGCCAAACGAGTGAAAAGCTCCCGAATGCGCTCCACATGCTCTCCCCAGGTGTCAGAATACACCACCACGTCATCCAACTAGACCGCACAACCAGTCATGTCACCAACCACTCTGTTCATTAGTCTCTGAAACGTGGCTGGCGCATTTCTCAGACCAAATGGCATGACTGTATAAGAATACAAGCCTGTAGGCGTAACAAACGCAGACACTTCACGTGTGCGTTCAGTCAGTGGTACCTGCCAGTAACCCTTTAAAAGGTCAAATTTACTAACAAAGTTAGCAGAACCCACTTGATCGATGCAATCATCCATTCTCGGCAGCGGGAAACAATCTGGTTTAGTAACAGCGTTAAGCTTACGAAAATCTGAGCAGAAACGCAGCGTATTGTCCGACTTAGGGACCGAAATACACGGAGTTGCCCAACTGGACCTACTCGGTTCTGCAATCCCAGTACGAAGCATATAATCTACTTCCACATCCAAGTGCTTACGCTTCTCCAGATTCACTCTGTAAAACCGTTGCTTGATTGGTTTAGCGTCTCCCACATCCACATCGTGTTCGATCAAATGCTTGCGACCTGGAGTGTCTGAAAATAGACATGGAAATTCACTTATCAACTCTGCCAACTGTTTAGCACAACCTGCAGGCAAGTGAGCCAACAACGTGTCCAGCTTACCCAGAGTTTTTAAGACGCCCATGAATCAGAGCGCTGTCCAACCCATCCGTACCGCTGTCATCTCCCACAGGTGACAGTGCGCTGTCCGTGGTGCTGAAAGTCTCGCTCCCCCCAGCTGTTTACGGCACAAGCAGGCGTGGCATCAGTAAACTGTGGCTGAAATACATCATCACGAGCATGAAATGGTTTTAATGTGTTGACATGACACAACTGGGTTATATTAAATAGTTCTGATTGGAAACCCGCTTCAGAACTGTATATGGGCCAATAAATTTCGCCCGAAAAGGAGAAGTCGTGACCGGACACAAAGCCAAGACTTGATCACCAGACAAAAATGAGCGCACCTCAGCACGACGATCAAACCAACTTTTCATTTTTCTCCGCACCACAGTCAGTTTCTCTTTAACGAGTTCCCGTGCCAGATATATAACGTCTTCTAAAACCATTTACGTAATCCACCAAGTTTTTCGGTGGAACAGACTCTTTCAGCCCGTCCGCCACCACAGCCAACGGACCCTTCACAAAAACCAATTCATTTGGGCTAAACCCAGTGCTTTCTTGGGTTCCCTCCCTGGCGGCCAGCATCAGCCAAGGCAACCCTTCCTCCCAGTCGCCCGCAAGAGAGACTTCAGAGACTGGTGGAAGCGCTCTAATGCCCCCTGACTCTCTGGATGATACGCTGTCGCTTTACTGTGTCGCACCCGCAGCTGTTTCAAAACCTGACTGAACAAATGTGATGAAAAATGTGTTCCTTGGTCAGACTGTATTTCTTTAGGGATGCCAAACACCGAAAAGAACCGAGTAAGCGCACGTACAACTGACCTAGCAGTTATCGTCCGTAACGGATAAGCTGCTGGATAACGTGTAGTTTGACATTACAGTGAGTAGATATGAAGACCCAGCCTTTGAACGAGGCAACCGACCCACGCAATCTATGATCAAATGTTCAAACGGCTCAGACGCAGCAACAATTGGGCTTAAAGGGAACGGTTTCAAAACCTAATTGGGCTTAACAATGAGCTGACAGACATGACACATCTTAATATAAGACGAAACGTCCTTTTTAAGACGGGGCCAGAAAAAATGTCGCAAAACTCGATCATACGTCTTACGTACACCAGAATGGCCAGATTCATCATGAGCAACTTTCAACACTGCGGAGCGTAGCTTGATGGGAACCACTATTTGTAATACTGGCTCACCCACAACGTCAGCATGTGGTAACCATTTCCTCACCAACAATGAATCCTGCAGGAAATATCCGCAATACAATCAGTTATTTCACTTAATGGGCGAACCTGGTCAAAAAGAGTCTTCAGTGAAACATCAGCTTGTTGTTCCGTCACGAACTCACTGCGAGACAGAGACGTGGGAAAACTAGACAAAGGCAAATTCATTTTCACACATTTCTCGTCTTTCACGCTCTGACCGCGCGCAAAGGCACGAGTAACTGCGCATGCGCTAAACACATCTGCGAATTCCCCGTTCCCCTCAGTCTGAGGAATGAGTCGCTCATCTGGCTCTGAAGTAACCAGCCCGTCTAACGGCGCAGCGTCCGCCCACAAGCGAGTTCCTGCTAAACCGTTACCCAAAATCACAGAGACTCCGTCAATTGGCAAAGCAGGGCGCACAGCCAACTGCGTGTCACCAATAAACAGTTCGCAATCTAGAATCACGGTATGTAATGGAACAAACATCATGTTTAATCCCATTCAGAACTGGAACACAGGCACCAGTTTCAGACTCAGCCGAGAACGGCAACACGTCAGCTCTAATAAAAGAGTCAAACGCCCCAGTGTCTCTCAGAATCTTAATTCGAGCCTTTACCCCGCCATTTGGCAGTGACACATACCCCTCACGAATGAAAGGTGGGTATGAAACACCTACTTCAGAAGACCGAGTGTTCTTCATGTCCTCTAAAGGACTCCGCACCGGCGCAGCCAAACCAACTCCCTTAGGAGCAGTTTGAAACTTTTTTGTTTCACCCTTAAGCTGATGACAATCTGCTTTAATATGTCCACGTCTGTGACAGTGTTGACAAACCCGATCATCATCCCGAACAACCGGATTTTTAAACTGCCTCGCCTCCATTTGCTTAGTGACACCACCAACCCGATCACTGCGGCTCACATCTCGTCCAAAATAGCGTTTAAAACCCACAGGACCCGAATAATCCTGATGAGTCAGCAAGAACTCGTCCACCAACACCGCGGCCACAGAAACGTTTTTAGCTTTCTGTTCATTAATGTAGGTTGCAATGTCTTCCGGTAAGCAGTTTTTAAATTCCTCCAACATCAGATCGCGGAGCTGATCAAAGTTCTTAACATCCTGTGCAGCACACCACCGATCAAATAAAGCAGTTTTAACGCGACCTAACTCAGTATAACTCTGATGGTCGGCTTTTTTATAGCTGCGAAATTTCTGCCTATATGCCTCCGGCACGAGCTCAGAAGCTTTTTCCACTGCACTTTCACTTTATCATAACCTAAACTGTCAGTAGGCGACAGCGAGGCATAGGCTTCCTGTGCTTTACCAGTGAACACACACTGCAGAAGCAGCGGCCAAACATCCTGAGGACACCTCAGTGTTTCTGCCACACGTTCAAACAGGATGAAATATTTATCCACATCCAATTCGGTAAACGGTGGAACCAAGCGAATACATTTGTTGATATCAAACTCTGCCCCTGCAGAACTGCCATCTTGATCGACTAAAACGCGCACTGAGTCGCGCCTCGCAGCTGCCAACAACAAACTGGTTAACAAAGCCGTGTCCCACCCCAACGGTGTTGTCACTGCTCACTCCTACAAACAGGAAGAAGGTGAATGAAAACGTCACACACTCAAACCAATAATTTTCCAAATTGCAAAAGTCTTGTGTTTGACGAGCCTCCATTTGTTACGGCCCGGCTCGGAAAGCCACAACAAAATTAGGAGGACACGGCAACCAGTCAGTGTTAAGCCCATGAGAGACGTTTATTTTTAAAAGAATGAAGTTGTCCAAGAGACATTAATAGACGGCCTAAGGGGTGATCAGTCCGCGCCCCTCCAGTCTGGACTCATCCTGGCCTGGATCTCCGGGTCGTCTGAACATGGTGGCTTCTGACAGTCACACACATGAATGGAACGGCGCTCCTTATAAACCATCCAGGTGTCTGATGGAAGCGCCTCCACATTGAGGACCTTAATTGATAGTAAATCACATGACACACACAGGACTGCACAGCAGGGCCGTCACAGTGGCCAAACAACATGGCGCTCAGATCCCTTCCGCCTAGAGCAGTGATGTCACGCTGCGAAGCTCTATGGGAGAAGACGAAAATGTTTTGATAATTAATCTCCTGTTTCTCTGCCTCTGACTGCAGACTGAAGCTGCTGTGAATAAAACATTAAAGTTTCATTAGAGGAAACTCTTTTCTTGGTGGATTTTATTGGGTTTCTCTTTTTATTTGCCACCAAGCGGCTCCACGCTGCCTCCACTTCTCTCAGCTTTCTGCTCCGTTCTGCTTCCTGAAACGTTTTGCTAAAGTTATTAAAACCCAACAGCAGGAAAAAATGTGGAGGAAAATCAGAGATTTAAAACATGAGGGGATGAAGCATTTTAACACCTAAACTGATGATCCAGCTTGATTTAGTTTTTGATTCTCAGAAGAAAAAAAAAAAAAAATTGTGCCAAAAAGTTCCAGATGTTCTGATATTATTTCTCAGATAATATTATATTTCAGCAGTTTTACAAAAAAAAAAAAAATGCTGAAGAGAATAATGATTGTTAGATTGTATGTTAGGAAATTTATTATCTTAGTTCATTTACTTTTATTGAATGATTATATTTTCATATTATTCCGTGTTTTTTCATTCCCTTTCCTTTATTGTATATTCTTAACTGTCTTTTAGGGTTTCTCTTGAGGGTTGGAGATGTCTCACACATTTCTGTGTTAAGGACCCACAATGATCTTTATCTGTATCCTGAGAGTGGTCATCATTGTGTCCCAATGATGGGACATCAACAAAAGACTTCCAGAACATCCTGTAGGATAGAGTATTAGTCAATTGTTTGCATGTCTGAGTGAGAAAGCCAACTCTTTGTGTATTCATATATAATAAAAGGCAGTTGGGGACTGAGAGCCGATGGAGTTGATCTCAGACAGCGTTTGGCAGCGGTTCTCTCCGCGTCGAGCTCTTCTCCCCTTTTCTGCAGAAAAGTAATTTGTGTCTTTGGTTGATTCTTGCAGGTTGGGAACAAAATAAACCCAACATTGTAACAAAATGCTTTATATCTGTAATATTTTCTTTCACATAGCTGATGCAGATGAAGCAAAATTATCAAAACTATATAAAATCTTACAAAAGAAAAATGCAACTTCAGATCCATTCTTTGATTTTTACTCAAAATTAAATTAATTTTCTGCACCCCAATAAGCTTCTGACTCATTTATTATTTTATTTTTTGTTTTACATCAAAACATAGTCATGATTGGAATGGCCTAGTCAAAATCCAGACCTTAAACTACGAATCTTTTTCCAGACTTGAAAATAAATGTTTATAGATAATTTCCATCCTTTCTGACTGAGTTTGATTTTGTAAAGCTGCTGTACTTCCTCCAAATAAAAATAAGCAAGAAACTGATTTCTGATTTTTTGTTTCCAGGTTGACGTTCTGAATGAAACAGAAAATATTATTTTCTCCATTTTATTATTCAAAGCATCATCATCAGACCTTCATCAACTGGTTTCAAGATGGGAATGTTTTACTATAAATAAGTTATTTATGAAAGTCAGAGTTGAGATTTTAAAAAATCTGTTATTGACATTTAAACAGAAACAGAACAGAAAGAAAATCAAATGAATAAAATACAGAAGAAAAGTTTTTATTGTTCACTAAATACATGAAGTTTAACTGGAACAAAAATACAAAAGGATCATTTAAGATTTTAATTCAAGATGGATTAAAGAACATAGAGAAAAACTGCATTAAATTAAAAGAATCTTTGACTGGAAACAAAAACAACCTGGAATAATCCTGGAATATCCTGGAATAATCCTGGAATCCCAGCTTCCATCTTTAAAGGACGGGAAGAAGAAGAAATTTCCAAGGAAACTTGTTGGAGTTTCCTCAAGAAATAGATTGTAGAGACTGAACTATCTGTTCAACAGTGAGAGAGTTTCTCTGACAGGAGGAAAAACTTTAGACTCTTTAGACTCAATCAGCTCAGAGACACTGAGGAACCATAACTGACCAGAACGCAAATCCAGGAATCAGAGGTTCAGTGAATGTGGTTTGAAGGTGTGGGAGGAGGATCAGTGAGTCAGAGGAGACTTGTAGAAGGACAGAATGCCAGCAGGACAGTCCACATAAACTGCTACTCTGTTAGAGACAGAGGAGGAGGAGAGACTTTTTATGTTATTGTGACAGAATAACCATCATATCAGAGCATCTCAGCCTCCAGGAATGATTATATCCAAACACAGTCTTCACTGTCTCCTTTCCTCTGATTCTTCTGTAACTCACTGATATATTAACATCTCCTCTCCACTCAACCTCCCAGTAACAGCGACCAGTCAGACCAGTTTCACACAGCAGCTGAGGATCATCAAATCTGTCTGGATGATCAGGATATGACTGAAGCTCCTTCACATATGTCACCTTCCTTTGTCTTCAGACAGTTTGAGTCTCTGTTCACTGTGTTTGTGTGTCGATGGTGAGTTGACAGGAATCTGATGGAGAACAAACACAATCCAGCTGCAGTTATTGATCATTTATTGACACTTTGACTCCTGAATGAGTGATGTGACAGTTTGAAGATGGTTGAATGTGAGCTGCTTTGTTGTCATGAATCAGATGAAAAACACACTTACATTTCCTCAGACCTGGAGTCAAGAATCGGCCTCCAGCAGGCTCCACCCTGAAAGGAGGAGGGGGTCAGACCATCAGTCTCTTTCAGCAGCAAACATGGACATTACATGTCTCTCAGACACACATTGTCCTCCACTGAGACAGGAACAGTCCAACATCTGGATTGCAAACTGCAGTGGATGTAGGAAGGACAGTTGGTGCTGCTGCAGCACAACTCATTTCTCCAAACACAGGAAAAGCTCCAACAGAGAGGAGAAAGGAAATCCCTCAGTAACAACTTGAAGAAACTCACTGAAGCCTAAAAGGACATCAGGAAACTAAGGAAACATTTCTGGAAGCTCCACCTGATTTAATAATCAGCATTAAAATACAATCAATCTAAACTCTGATCAACACCTGGATACCTGATCCATCCACACTCCACACACAGATGAAGGAATGAAACACTAAACAGCCCTGCTGCTGAAAACCTGCTGTGGCCTCACTGTAATATCCAGAAATACAAACATTCAAAAGGAGAAGCTGCATCACATTCAACAAAGATTCAACAAGAATCAAAGATTTGATCTCTGAGCTCAGACTCACAAACCAGGGAGAGGCTTCCATCATCACACACCTCTGACAAACACCTCCAACCTTTCAGCACTTCCTCTACCAACCAGCACCACCAGGTGGCGCTGCACACATTTACAAATGAGCCCAAGAAGAAGAAGCAGCATCCTAATCCAGCTGCAGTATGGCTTGTGAAAGTAATCCTCCCTCCACTGCAGAAGTTCTGGATGAGCTGATCTTGACTTTTTATCTTTCTCAGTAAATTTATCAGAACTTTGATCTGAACCAGTTTCTGCTCTCATTTTTACATTTTCCTCATCATTCACTGGATTTATTTCCTCCTTCTGGAAAACAAGGGATTTAATTTCTTTCCTGATTTATTTATGTTTGATTATTTTCCAGATGTTGCCTTCTTTAATAGAACTTTAAACATCCATGGTGGAGGTTAAAATAGCAAATAGATAGAAATATTATACTTTTAAATTTCCATTTTTTTCTTTATGAATGGTTTTTTTCTAGATGCTGCTTCATGTGTGAAATATTTTAAATCAATTTTATCAACTTTTTGAGTTTTGCTTCAAATCCAAAGTTAGTTATTTTTCTATCTGAGATCTTTAACATCCATCTGACCAACATGAAGCTCATTTTCTTCTCATCTTTGCTTCTTGGTGCTGATTGGTCTGAAGCTCCATCCAACATGGTTTTAAAGTCTTTCTGCCATCAGTGGATCATCATGGAAATCTAAATGCTGAACTCCTCAGACTCTTTGATGAATAATGTGACAGTTTGAGGAAGAATCTCAATATTTTCATTAATATATTTTAGCTCCATTAAAGACCCTCCACTCTTTAATTTTCCTTGTGAACCGTTCTTAGTCAGGAGAATATTCCAGAAAACTGGGTAATAATCTCTGCCTCCAGATTATTTGTCTAATAATCTCATTTCACAATCAGCTGAAATCTTCCTGGACTCTATAGTGTTAAATGAAGGACTGATCCATTTCCTGGATCAACATCTGTTCTTGTTTCTCTTCCATCATTCAAACATCATCAGTTTGTTTCCTCTAAGTATTTTTTACTGTTTGTTCATTTACATGTCTTCTGTTTTCATCCCATTGTATCTGCATTGGATTATCTAAATATTTGATGTGGATTAACTGATTCTAATCTAACTTTCATAATTATTATCTCTAGATAATTTCAGCCCATTTATTATTGTCTCTATTGCTACATAATCTAGATCAGTTTCTCTACTTCAAGGGTCTCAAACTCCAGTCCTCGAGAGCCTCAGTCCTGCAACTTTTACATGTTGCTCTGCTGCACCACCTGAATATAATAACTAGGTCATTAGCAAGGCTCTGGAGAACTGATCTACACAAGGAGGAGGAAATTAAGACATTTCAGTCCAGCGTTTTGTACCTGTGGCACATCTAAAAACTGCAGGACATCAGTCCTTGAGGACAGGAGTTTGAGACGCCCTGCTCTACTAGTTTTCTCTGAACATAGAGAATCTTTTCTAGATGTTGCTCATCTCACTGAAATATTTCTACTGATTCTAAAATCTACATTTGCTTCAGTACCAATAATATCTGATTCATCATGTTATTAATCTTCATATTTTAACTTCCTGTCCATCAGCCAATCAGCTTCCTGTATTTCCTCAGTAGATCCATCAGTGGAAGCCCCGCCCAGCCCATGATGCTCCTGGTTTGTGAACAGAGAGACAAACTGAACTCTGATAAAACAGTTTCAACTGATTTTCTCTCTCCAACCTCTTGGTTCCACATGGAGCTATATTTGGCCCCCTGCTGCTCTGAATACCATGTTATTGTGGTTCCAGTAGATGGGTTGGTTTCCAGGTTCATTCAGAACCATGTGAAAGATTCTTATAGTTTAAATGAGCTGCTGTTTGAAAAGTTACACAACCAAAATTACCAGAGATCATTTGAGTTATTAAACTGTAATAAGAAAAAAATGGGTTAAAATTTATTCATTCATTTATAAATGACATGGCTGTAAACTAAATATTTAATAAGCAATCTAAACATTTAGCTTCCATCTAAATGTTTCCAGCAGACTGACTAAAGACATTTTCTCCCTCTTCCTCCTCTATCAGACCTTCTCTGCTCCTGCAGCAGGTTCCTCCATACCTGAGAGCTTCCAGTCTCCAGTGTGGATCCTTCAGTCCAGCCGACAGCAGCTTCACTCCTGAGTCTCCTGGATGATTGTAGCTCAGGTCCAACTCTTTCAGATGGGAGGGGTTGGAGGTCAGAGCTGAGGCCAGAGAAGCACAGCCTTCCTCTGAGACCAAACAGCCTGATAATCTGCAGACACACAATTCATAACATGATGAAAAAATGAGAACATGAGGTAGAAACCAAGGTCTGAACTGATCATTTTAATGAAAGGAAGAGACTTGAGCAACTGGTGCTTAACCAGTTAATAATATGAAATATTAATAAAACTTTATTTTCTGTTGTAGGTAATAAAAATCAACGTTTCCCTCATGATGGTTGAGAAAATCTAACAACTGCTGGTTGTAAAGATCTGCACTGATGCTCCTCTGTTCAACTAGGATGCAGCAATTTGTCAAGTATGCAGATTTACACTATCAGTCAAAGCCTGACCTCCACTGTAATGTTTGTCTTGTAGTACCGAAAGGATGCCGAGTCTTTTAAAGATGCTTTCTTTATTAATTAACTCCAGCGGTCATAGTACACTCATTGATAACCTAGTCCTGCCTGACTTCCTCGTGTGCCCGCGCACCCTTGCCGATCTGCCTGCATCACCACCTGCTGGTGCTGCCTATCATTACATCCCCCTTTCAAGATGGTTTGTTAATATGTCAACTGCTTTCACTAACAGAGTCACCAGTAACATTTCCACTTGAAAACATACTTTTTTTTTTTAAAATATAGACCTAAAAAAAAAAACAGAACTCCAACCAAACTACAAAATAACAGAACTCCACCATGAACAGTCCAACCTGTTATTTCCGTTTTGTCGTTTCTCTTCCTCCTTAACCTTGTACAATCAGTCTCTCTGGTGGCCTTCTTGTCCTCGTTGACCTTCTTAAGACTGGTGTTGAGCTAGTGTTATATTGTAACACATCATCACCCACACTCTGGGTGTCAGTAGTCTCTCTGGCCTTATGGCCGGCATCACTCCCTCCTTGACCATGTTTCTGTGAGTCTTGTTCCTGAGTCTTGAGTAAACTCCTCCGGTTTCTCCTGAGTACTTGTCCATCATCCGTTTGAACCTCGTATGACCTGGGGTTCACTTCCTTAAGGACTGTGGCCTTTCGCTCCCACAGGCCTCGATCCTCAACTCTCACCTTGTCATTTTCTTCCAGAGCCCTCAACCTCCTGGTTGTTTTGTCATAGTTCTCCTTTTGTTTCCGTTTGAGCTCTTTTTGCTTTCCTGTCAGCCATTTTGTGTTCTTTGTTTGTGGTAAGTGTGGCAGCGTTGTCCGTAGCTTGCGACCCATGAGGAGCTCAGCTGGAGAGAACCCGCATGCCAGTGGTGCAGTGCGGTAACTCAGCAATGCAAGGTAAGGGTCTGATCCACTGTCACCTGACTTCTTTAACAGTCTTTTAATGATCTGGACTCCCTTTTCAGCTTTCCCATTACCTTGTGGATGCAGTGGACTGGACGTGTTATGTTGAAACCCATATTCCTGCGAGAACTGCCTGAACTCTCTGCAGTTGTACTGTGGTCCATTGTCACTAATGACAGCTAGGGGAATCCCATGTCTGGAGAAGACGCTTTTCATATGAGTAATTACTCCAGCGCTGACGTGTTAGAAAGCTGGGCTATTTCTGGATAGTTAGAGTGATAATCTATTATCACAAGATAGTCTTTACCATTCAGGTGGCATAAGTCAGTTCCCACCTTTTGCCAGGGTTCTGTGGGTACATCTGTGACCAGCATGGGCTCTTTGGTCTATTTATAGTGATGTTTAAGGCACGTGGCACATGTGGATATCATATTATCAATGTCATTATTGATCCCCGGCCAGTACACTGCCTCTCTGGCTCGTCTCCTACATTTCTCAACCCCCAGATGTCCCTCATGAATGCGGCACAGCATGTCTTGTCTCATTGACTGTGGGATCACCATTCTATTGTGTCTGAGCACCAGGCCCTCTACCACACTCAGGTCAGCTCTGACTGGGTAATATTGTGGACAGCTTCCTTTCTTCCAGCCATTTTGGAGGTTGTCCATCACTTTTCTCAGAGTGGTGTCTTTTTCCGTTTCTTGTATTATCTTTTTCAACATTACATCAGACACTGGCAGACCTGACATCACTGTGTCCACATGTACACTGACATCAGCAGCACTGGACGACACTTTGGCATCAGTGTCGGGCAAAGAGGCTCTGGACAGTGTATCAGTTACAACTATGTACTTTCCAGGTGTATAAACAAGCTCAAAATCATATCTTTGCAACTTCATCATCAGCCGTTGGATTCGAGGAGACATCTCATTCAGATTTTTCTGTACAATTGAAATCAGCGGTTTGTGATCTGTCTCCATAGTAAAGGTAGGTAGTCCATATACGTAGCAGTGAAACTTTTCACACCAATAAACTAGCCACAGAGTCTCTTTCTCTATCTGAGCATAGCGTTGCTCAGTGTCTGTCATTGTTCTGGAGGCATAGGCCACAGGTTGCCAGGTGTCACCCACTGCTTGCAGTAATACAGCACCTAATCCCTCCTTTGAGGCATCTGTTGAGATTTTTGTCTTTCTTGCAGGATCGAAGAAGGTAAGAACTGGCTCGTTAGATATTGTTTGCTTTAGCGTTTTTCACTCTTTGTTATGTTTCTCTGTCCACTCGAACACGGTTTCTTTTTTTAGCAGTTCTCTCATGCTTGTTGTTTTGGATGACAGGTTTGGAATGAATTTGCCCAAGAAATTTATCATCCCTAGAGCTCTCAATACACCTTTCTTATCTGTGGGGTGTGGCATCTCCTGGATGGCTTGCACTTTTGAGTACAGAGGCTCCACACCCTCTCCTGATATCTTGTCGCCCAAGAAGACAACCTCCCTGACCCCAAACTGGCACTTCTCTTTATTAAGCTTCAGCCCACTCTCCTGGACCCTCTGTAAAAGCCTAGTAAGTCTTTCATCATGTTCTTGTCTTGTTTTTCCTCATACAACTATGTCATCAATGTAGACTCTGGTGCCTACCAGACCCTGTTATTCGCTCAATTGCCTTTTGAAAAATCTCTGGTGCTGATTTAATGCCAAAAGGCAGCCTGAGAAAACAATACCTTCCAAATGGGTGTTAAAGGTGCATAGTTTGCTGCTTTCAGCATCTAACTTTATTTGCCAAAAACCCTGCGAGGCATCTAGTTTGCTAAAATACTGAGCACCTGCCATCTCGCTGGTGATCTCCTCTCTCATCGGAATCTGATAATGTTCTCTCTTAATATTTTCATTGAGATCTTTGGGGTCTAAGCAAATTCGTAACTTCCCATTTGGCTTTTTGACACATAATTGAATTTACCCAGTCTCAACTCGCTCAGTGACCCCCAGTAAGGTCATCCTGTCCAGCTCTTTTTTCAGGCTGGCACGCAGTGCTACTGGCACTCTCCTTGGGGCATGTACAACGAGCTTAGCGTCACTCTTAAGTTGTATTCTGTATGTGAATGGCAGGGTGCCCGGTCCTTTAAAGATGCCTGGGAAGCTATCTACAATGTTATACACCCCGGCACTTTGTTCTGTCACTTCTACAGTGTCTTTGTTTAGCTGATAAATTCTCCTGACCAAACCCAGATCCTCACAGGCTTTGTCTCCCAGGAGTGACTGACCCTTAGGAACGACCACAAACATTATATTGTGCACATTACCCTTTACATTCACTTTAAGTCTGCACACACCCTCTGTTTCTATGCTTTGCTGGTTATATGCCTTGAGTGCAACTGTATTTCTTCTTATCTTAGGTTTCTGTTTAAGTTCTCTAAGATCATTGACATTTATAATATTTGCCTTTGCCCCAGTATCAAGCTGAAATGAAATCAGTGTCCCATTTACCACAAGAGGTGCCACCCATTTATCTCTTTTATCAACATTTGTTGTTGATGGAGCCCTTCCATCTTCCTTGTTCACCATACTGACAAAAAGTGACCCACTATCATCACTTTGATCACCACTATCATTTTCATCCTGAACAGTATGTACTTTTTTATCTTTAGACATACACATTCTGGCAAAATGATGTAAACCTCTGCATTTTGAACATGCTTTCCCATAAGCTGATCGGTTTATGATCACTTCCACATCTGTTGCAGCTGAACATGCCATCATTCTTGTTCCTCTTCTTGAACTTAGCTGTGGGCTTCTCTCTGATGGAGACCGCGTCCACTGCCTCACACAGCTGACTGGCAGCTGTCGTGCCGTGTGCTCTTTCGGCAAATGTCTTTGCATGTTCTTCTGCCATCTCACTGGCTTGACAAATTTTTATTGCCGTTTCCAGTGTGAGATCACTTTCTCTCAGAAGTTTTTCTCTCGTCTTTATATCCTTAGTCCCAAACACTATCTGGTCCCGGATCAGCGAGTCCCTCAGTACACCAAAATTACATGATGCAGCTTTTATTTTTAATGCTGTGAGGTAGCTGTTAAATGACTCATCCTGCAGCTGCATTCGGGATTGAAACACGTACCGTTCAAATGTTTCGTTTTTTTTCGACAGGCAGTGACCATCAAACTTCTGCAGGACCACATCCAACTTGTTTTCCTCCTCGGTCTCAAACGTGAAGGTGTTGTAAACTTCCAGTGCTTCCGGACCGGCAATTGTGAGCAACATGGCAATCTTCCTTTCATCCGGTTTGGTGTCCAGTCCCACTGCAGACACGTAGAGCTGGAACCGTTGCTTGAATGCTCTCCAGTTAGCATCAACGTTCCCCGTTAGCTTTAACGGCTCCGGCGGCTTTATTGCATCCATAGTCACGAAAAGTTCCTAACCGATGTCTACAAAACAAACCTCTGAAAAGGACCCCACTCCTGGTACCATGTAATGTTTGTCTTGTACCAGAAAGGATGCCAAGTCTTTTAAAGATGTCTTCTTTATTAATTAACTGCAGCGGTCATAGTACACTCATTAATAACCTAGTCCTGTCTGACTTGCTCGTGTGCCCGCGCACCCTTTGCCGATCTGCCTGCATTACCACCTGCTGGTGCTGCCTATCATTACAGGGATTATGTCGAGCCACTAAATATAATCTATCCTGTAACAAGTGCTTGTTGTTGATAGAGAGAGAGCTGCTGTTAACAAGAGTGGGTGTTGGAGTTATGCAGCTGTTTATGACTTCTCAACTGATTA